ATGCCGGCATCCTTTGACAAAGAAAAAGTCTAAAAAGAACATTATAACGCAAACAAGAGTAATGCTGCCACCCTGACAACAACTTACTTGGTAGACAGACTGTCAGGATGATTCCATTGGATTCCTCATTCCCGTGTTTTCTGGCATCATCCTCTAGTCTCAATTTCACATATCTGGGGAGGTCGTGCACCGCTGCACTGCCCTTTCGATGGCAAGCTCTCAAAAGTCTATCGCGACCTGTCAGAAAGATTCCTCGGAGAGAACTCAAAATTTCAAGAGGTCTCTCTCTCTGCCTCGCACACTCTCAAAAATCGAGAGCCTTTCGGGACCGCCTGCACGTCCCGCACATTCTCAAAAATCGAGAGCCTTTTGGTACCACCTGCAGGCCCTGCACACTACTTTCCAAAACTGAGGACCCTAAAGGGGAGGTGGTCCCATCTCAAAAATTGGAGTTTCGAGTGTTGAACAAGAGTTCAAACCCAGTGCCAATTTTTTTCACTCTAGCTTTTCAGTGTTTTCACTCTCGAGTTTCAAACGTCAATTTTTCCGAGTGGAAACGTTTTACATTGTCAAATTTCGAGTGTCAATTTTTTAGAGTGTCGATTTTTTGAAGTGTCAATTTTTTGTCATTTTCTGTGGATAAGAAAGGGGAGGGGGGGGGAACAAAGAACGGAACGTTTTGCAGAGTGTCGTCAACCGAAAGTACGTGGCGCGAGGCCTCAATTTCAACTGAAACCGAGAATATGACCACTCTCCATCCATTCTCAAATTTCAAGATGAGTCGAGAGTACTCGAGCAAAAGATGCAAAACCCTTCACGATACAAGCTGCTTGTGTTTCTAAAAAAGGACAAAACACATTCAAAACTTGAGGCCATGAATTTCCCGGTTCCACCTGAAACCGAGAGTCTGACCACTCTTCATCCATACTCAATTTTTGAGATGAAAGCTGTGCTTTTGTATGAAAAAAAGGACAATAAATCCGAAACTTGAGGCCATGAATGTCCTCACAAACAATGTGCTGCCATGCTCCAGTTGCCAACCCTTCACATTACAAGCTGCTTTTGGTTGGAAAAAAGGACAAAATAAAGTCAAAAGTACGGCTACCAGAGTGGCCCGGGACCACTTGCCCGGACGGGCCCGATCTATATATATATAATATGCCCATACGTACGGAGGTCCCCAGGCCGACCTCCGTACGTATGGGCGTTCAGGGTCCCGTTTGGGGTCCGAACCTGAAGGCGTTCGGCCCCCGCCAGAAACTATTTCGGGGCCTAAAAATACGTTTTTTTTTCCTGAATTGTTTTCTGTGAGTTCTCTATAGGTACATGCCTATAAATTTTGACGTCGTTTTGCTAAGCAAACCAAAAAGTAAAAATCGCCCTAAGCCAACCAAAAAGTACAAATCGCCAAAGATGGAGGTGTCAAAACGCGCTCGCCCACTCACTATTTTGTTTTTCTTCACTTTCTACTTTTTGTTTTCATGGCGCCTAAACAATTTTATTATTTTTTTAAATGTTTTTAACGAGTTTCGTATTATGTGAAGTACACAAGACAGTTTGTTGATTGCTGTAAGAACTACAGCAACCATCCGTAATTCGCCAGCATAGAAGGGCTTTTTTTTTTGGGAAAAAAAAAAAAAAAGCAACCTCCCGTACTTTCAAACTGTATTTTTGACTGTACTGAAGTTACCCCCCCCCCACAAAAAAAAAAGAAGGGGCAACTTCAGTACAGTCATAAAAACAGTTTGAAATTACAGTTCAGCTAGGCTACCAGCCGGGCCGCCCGGGTCACCCTGTTTTCCCGGGTGACCCGGCCGTGCAAGGACCGGGCAAGTTCCCAGCAAGAAAAAAAAAAAGGAAAAAAAAACTGTGTTATGCAGAAAAATAAAGCGAACAACTTTTGCCTCGGGACCGCATCGAAATTCTTTACCATAAGAACGCCAGTTAAAAATATGTGAGGTGAGAGAAAAATATATTGCAGCTTTAAAACAAATAAGAATTAAAAAAAAAAAAAAAAATCATTTTTTGGCCCAGCTGGGCAAGTGGTCCTATGCCACTCTGGTAGTCTAGCCCTTTGCGCGTTCCCCTGAACACAACAACCCCCCCACATAACCCTGCCTGACCGAACTGCCATTTCGTCAAAATGGACATCTTTTATTTTTTGAACGAAATTGAAACTGAGTTTTTGGCCGAAAACTCGTCAAAATTTGCTGTTCCTTAGGGTCCCCTGGCTGTACATGGACCTAACTTGAGACCAGGTACCTCCAGGCAGTCCTCTACCCGGAGGTGTCTGGTCTCAAGCTAGGTCCATGTACAGACGCTGGACCCTCAGGAACAGCAAATTTTGACGAGTTTTCGGCCAAAAAACTCAGTTTCAATTTCGTTCAAAAAATAAAAAATGTCCATTTTGACGAAATGGTTGTTGCCGGAAAATTAGCTTGCATAGATTGCCCAAAGTGCAATTTAAACTGTTTTTTGCCCGAAGCTACCACCGTCCCCCGATCATCACACATATGCGTTGTATGCAATTCTTCCAAAAAAAAATGGGTTTTTGGAAAGACCTTTTTCTTCGAATACAAGGGCACTTTGAATATAACGCACATACGTTCTATTCGAATAATACGCATATGCACTGTATTTGAAGTGCCCTTGTATTCGAAGAAAAGGGTCTTTCCAAAACGCACATTGTCTTAGCAAACGTTTTTGTAACTTTGCGTGATTTTCGTTGGATCTGCCACCCCCGCCGCTCTGCGTCGCAAATTCCAGACCAGCAAATGAATACTGTGACCGAGGTGTCAAAACCGTGGTTTGGTGTGCGCACTCATACGATTGCAAGTGATGTCATCCTCTGCCGCACCCAGGAGTTCGTACGCAGTCCACCCACGAGTTCGTACGCGGTCCACCAGCCCCCTCGTATCATCGACCAGTACTCGCAACTGTCATATACGATTCCACAAGGGGCCTCCGCTTGCTTACCATCGCGATAGAATATTAGGAAATAAATATCTGATAGAGTTGGTGGAGTCGTGCGAAAGATGGGGCCCGTACGGAGTGAGTGGCAGATTTGGTGAAATCATGAAATGCGCAAAAAAAAAAAAAAAACATTCCAAGTTCCAACTTCTAACAGTTATCATGTTCGTGAGGCATCACGAAATCCAGCTCCTCTCGCTTCACCACACCGCCGTTTCACCATGCCGTGCTGCAATGGCCCAGAAACTTTAAAAAACTTGTGTTGATGATGTCACAAAATGCTCCCGAACTGGCATTTCTACGCGTTTTATGGTACGTGAGGCCCTCTCTCGCATTTCTAACTCAATTCCACTGGTTTCGTTTCACACGCCGTGCATATCGAGGTGATGAGACGAGATGAGACACTGTTCGGGCAGGGGGGGGGGGGTTACTGTTTAATTTGGTAAAAAAAATTGATGCGAGTCGTCATGTGACCATGCAGCAAAAGTTGTTCCGTTTATTTTTCTGCATAAGATTGTTTTTTTTTTTTGTTTTTTTTTTTGGGGGGATTCTGCTTTCTAACTTCTAAGACCATTTTCAGGATTCTAGATTTTTATTTTTATTTTTTATTTTTTTCGCCCCTGGCCAGCTAGGCCACCTGGGGCGAGGTCCCACTAGCAACGGGAGAGGATAAAAAGTATTAAAAACGAGTTTGTGGGGCAGTTGAGTGACCCAAATCCTGCCGTGCAGTACTCGTGATCCCACGGTCAGTATTTTACATGTATTACCCGAAACATTAAGGAGAACTTTGTTCCCCTCCTCCTCTCCTTAACACTGGGCATGCCCGTGCAAAGAAAGCTTCCCACCAGAATCTTTTCAATCGGTTGGGGGTGTGGCCAACCCCAAAAGAGGGTGGGATCGGCCATAGGCCCACTGGATAGAAGATTTTCACTATTTTTTTTTGCTTCTTCTTGTGCAATTATCTCATTGGGTGGGTGGAGCCCTCCTTCAATCACGGAGCATCATATCGAGGGAGTCAGGATCACTTCTGACAGAAGTCGAGTTTCTTCCAGAAAATGTGGCGGTTACTTTGTTCACTGTTGATGCAACCGCCACCATCAGAT